AAAACAGGAAAAATACGTTATGACTTTTCTGACAACCCAATATATAAATAGAAATAATTTGAATAGGCTGTTAAAATTCATTTCTATCAGTTGAATATGGCATATATCTTCCATATTGAATGGGTATAACTAGGATATTTAAGACGTAATTTAAGGATTAGATCAGTGATTCTCATGTTTAACAGGATCATTGGTAAAGTGACAGAAGTTTAGTTTATTGTATTTAAGTGTATATACATACACATGTATTTATATCTGTTTATACAAATTTATAACTATTCTACTTAATTCAGCCTTAATTTTATAGTGTGTAAAGTGATTTGTTTGCTAGGCTTGTTATCTATTTAGTATTAGCATCTGCATTTGAATATGATATAAGATTTTCCAGGGTTTTATTTGCACCAGATGGCTGATTGACTTAAAAAATATTAAACTAAATAGATCAGCTCTAAGTACCAAGTTTTGTTTTCCAGTGGAATGTACTGTTTGCTTCTTAGGCTGTCTTAGTTAAATTACATTATCTCCTACCAACTAGCAAGTTGAGTTAACTTCAGGTATGGAAATCAAAATGCTTTTGGTTACATTTGAGATAGCTATATCCATATATATAGATATAGATATAGATATAGATATATATAGATATATCCATGAATATCTATAAATTTTGCAGAAGAAAGAATAGATTTCATGGAAGAAATACCTTGGCTGCTCTTCGTGAGTTTTCTCTCCTTTTCTTCCTCTGTACGGTGTCTCTTTGGAGACAGTAAACTGTGGCAGTGAAAGATGTTTTGTAAGTTTTTGGGTGCTGCATTTTTCTATTTTAGCACTCATGTTGTTTGATAAATGTCTGTTTGATAAATGTCTAAGACAGATTTTCTCAAAGTCATATTTCCTGAAATTANCAAATTTGTTTATTTAGAACTCCCCAGCCCATCATGAAACAAACCCTTTTTCATATGTCTACAATTTATCTGTTATTTGTTAAATTTAAGCAGCGTTGAAACAACAAAGTACATAGAAAAATAATCAAAAAGAGAAAGTCATTTCCCCATTTCTGTGGCGATTCCTTCCTAGTTAACCAAAATTTTCATTATCCTTTATTTTCTTGTCATTGGTACTAAATGAAAATATGCATTAATTTTCTAGACAGGGACTAATTTTGACTGACTTGAGGGGAAGATATATTTATTGGTTGGTAAGAAAATTTGTTTCTTATGGTAGGTAACAAACTAGTCTGTGTTATTCTCTAATTTTTGCCACTTTTCATACAGATTATAATATTTATGAGAATGGTTTTCCTCTTCTGTAGCAAAGAACATGAAATTGTTGTAATAATAGCCCCCCTAAACAATATTTGGGGGGATGCCCAAAAAATGAATACAAGTGGACACTTTGGTCAGCATTGCTCAAGCAGTAGTTCGCCATAATCAGAAGTGCCTGGACACTTATGGTAACCACTTTGAGCACCTCTTGTAATTGTGGAAGTCAAATGTGACTTGTATTCACCTTTTGTTGTGGGTATATATTGAATATTACAATTTTAATAGTTTTTCCTTTCATAAAATGTGTATGTATATTTTTGGCACCCTTTGTATGGATTAGTCGCATGAGGCATTTGTTGGAATTAAAACTTTTTGTGTCTGTGGCAACAGGTTAAAAATACTTTTTGGTCAAGATGAATAGCTTTTTCTTCTTCAACCTGCCCACTCGTTTAATGTAAATGGAAAATATATTTGTTGAGTTTTCAGTGATTGAGGTGAAAACAAAATACATAAGATTTGGTAATCAGCATAAGTAAATAGGAATAGTGTTCTTATAGTAAAACTGTGATTTAAATAACCTGCTTAACACTAGTGAAATGACTAAATTTAAGTTCAAATATAAAAAAGTTAGAATTGTTGTAAAATGTTTAGCATGAAATGAGAGATTTGACATTTTAAGAATCACATTATATACATGTATACAAACACTGAAAATGCACGTCTTTATATTTCATTATAAGGTAAGTATGCTTTGAAATTCCATTTAAAGAGGTTTTGTTACTGTTATGTTCAAGTAATCAAATTATGAAGTAGGTTTTGTCAG